AATAAAAAATGGGGGTCACCGCGCTCGTTTAAGAGAAAAGGAGCATTTATTTCGCTATCGAGCTTAGTTTGAGGGAAATCTCTTACATTTTGTACACACACGCGCTCATGTGTGGCACTAATGACACGAAAATCATGCGCATTAGGGATGCGCAATGCAATACTAAGGAATCACCTTAAAAACAAAATTTAATTGAATTGGAATTGTGTTTTTTCAAAGTTCATGATTCCTTAACCAAAATTCTTTTCCCTCAGCCCAGTCCAACAATAATTTTACCGCTGATTTCTTGAACTAACCGATTTTTCAAACCAATTTTTGTTTCCCTTGGAGGTTCGAATAATCAGGATTTTACTGTATGAACGGGATGATAGTAAATATCATTACCGTCCTCTGCACATTGAATTTTTATCATTCAGTATTCAAATATCGTTTTTTATGAGACTTAAGAGAAGTCGAAGCAAATTTTATCGATAATCGTTCAAGCAAGTTGTTATTGGTGGTTTTTGTGAGCTTGTTTTTGATGGTTTTGTTTCGATAAATTGTAAGATAAGCTAAAATTGATCAATTCGATATTTAACAATAAAATTGATTGCACTAAGTGATAAATCGATAATTATCAACAAATCCTGTTATTGATTTTTATCGATTTTCAATATTATTGACTAAGTTTACCAATTTTTATCGAATATTATCAATTATCGATTTTATCAAGTGGCTACCTCGAGCATTAAGGTGTCTTACTACAGTTTTTCTGAGACTCAATAGCGCACGGTACCACTGCGTGCCAAACATCAGTATTAATCAAGTGTTCAAAAATGACCCAAGTAACCCTAAGAAGAAACTAAATCACTTCAGCACTTGAAAGGCGTTAATTTGGTATAAGTAGCAATAGTTTCAAACTCTGTTCAAACATGTGTTTAAGCCTAGGGCCAAAAAGATATGACAAAAAAGCTCTATAAATAACTAGTAAAAGAGCTCTAATTTACTCTTGCTTTCTCGCACTCAATACATGGTGTCACATGAGCAAGCGCCTAAATGAATAACCACACGTGACACCATGCATGTTTTTTTATTTTTGTGGCGTCAGCATGACCAAAAAAATGCTAATTTTCTTGCGTTCCCTTCGGTGAATTCTTTTTTAATTTGGCTCAGTTCTAACCAAATACAATTCCTATAAAATACCCTATTTTTGTTAAAATCTGTCAGAGCTAATCTAATATATTTAGGATAATGACAAATTACAGAATATTGGAAAAACCGTCTGAACAACCTTGACTTTTTACTAATTCAAAATGTCAGGCAAATATATCATTTCCATGATGTGGCAAAGTATGAAAAATGTCACCAAAGAAAAGTATAAATATTAAGGAGTTTACGTCAAAATGAGGAATATATCTGCCTGTCATTAGATGAGATGTTGCCATGGTAACGGCCTTAATCCAAAAACTGACAACCAAAACATAAGCCTTATTTTAACAATACCCATACTGGTAAATCTCTACAGGGAAAACTTTAAGAGAAATTAACTAAGTTTCCTTTTCTAACTCGCGCTCTATAGGGAGGGTGTTCGTAATTACTGATATACTCTAAGGAGCCACCTTTAGTAAAGGTCCCGCTTACATGGTTATTTAAGTTGTGCGCTCACCTGGATAAATCAGTCAAGTAACTTCTTAAACAGCCACTAATTTGGTCCCGTTTCCCGTTAATAACGCTGGGCTGATTCAGCTTACGGGAAAAGCATTCATATACACAGAAATCCTTGACCACGTTGTCCCATTCCCGTATAGCTGTAACTAGCCGCCATCTTTACTTCGTACTCACAGAAGACTGGGCACCACTTTATTGAAGAGAAAGGCTCGCAATGTGTACTCGCACATTGTGGGAACACATGTATTTCTGTCTCAAGGGCCGTCTCAAGGCGTTAGGCCCGGGGGGGGGCTACTTTGTGAATTTATGGGTGGGGATGTGCTGCTGGGACCCTGGAACCCTTAGCCTATACCAAAGCTAGTTCAGCTGAATTTTGCTGACCTATACTAG